GATAAGATATGCAATTGGGTCAGGGCAACATCCGAGTTATGGGAGGTGACCACCAGCAGTAGCTAACCTTTAAGATATGTTTGCCCGTCTCATCTTCAGCCAGAAGCCTTGGGCTTGAGTATGGCTGCTTTCAACTTTCATGGACCTCACCAATCCATCGCTCTGGTTGAAGTGTGCCTGGCTTCTGTCTCACCATGCACAGTACCAGGTTGTGTATTTCAAGTTCAGCTTTTTATCCCTAAAATTTACTCTAGGTGGAGAGGCAGTCACCTAAGAATTTTATTGATCAGTCATTAATTATCAAATAGAAATTGAATTACAAGAAAAGCATTTCCTTCTTGAAGTTCAAGAGATCCCGAGGAAGATTCTGAGAAGAGTGAAACACGTGTTTGCTTTTCATAATTCCCACTTTAGCAATGAAGTCTGCACATCTGTTCCCTTCCCTTCCCATTCAACTTTGAATGGGTAGAAAACTAGAAATACAATAAACCTGACCTGACGTAATGGGTTTGGGATGGTTGGATCAACCAAGTGACTTCCAAAAAGCCTGTCCAGTTCGGGTTCTTCGTCTAACAACCAAGCATTTGCGTGCCCTAAAATTAGAGCTGTAAGGTGGCTTGCCTGCCCCCAGCTTTTGTAGCAGGTGGGCCATGCCAAGTATGGATCTCCTGCCAACAAAACATGTTCCAATACCCTACTATGATCTGACACCGTACATTTCATATATGGTGAGTCCTAACCTCGTGGTGAGATAGATGTGCGGTCTCAGGTCATGTTGATAGGAAGTTGGAACATGTTTTGTTGGCAAAAGATCCCAACTTGGTTGTATCAGGTCCAGCCCAAACCCCATGTCATGCTAGGCTAGGGGTTTTGCCGCCCACAAGCTGGCATGGCACAACTCAATTTTTATAAATAATTATATTCTAACTTTATTTTAATTTTTCTCAATTTCATTTTATTATTCTATATATAAACAATTGTATACATCAAAATTCATATAAGATAAAATTTTAAAAACTTTTTTCAATTTATTTTCTATTTTGTAAATTTATTTAATTTTTCAATTCTTTTAAAAAAACAGGTCGGCCTACAGGCATGACCCGCAAAAGTGGGTCGGGCAGCCCACATTACACCTCTACCTAAAATGATATAATTCATGTTAATGCAAATCTCCAAACAACATTATGTTTTCACAGCAGTCAGCAGTCTGCTACCGACGGTATCTATTGTCTAACTTGGCCAGATGGACCCTCGTGCCACAGAAGTGGGAGCATAGAACCGAATCAAATCGCTTAGGCTATGTTTGGTTGCAGTGCAATTTTATTTGCACTAGTACAAATGTATGGGAGTGTAAATGTAAAAAAATATAAATTCTTGTTTAATTTTGTTTTGGATTTTATTTTATTCTGCTTCATGTCTTAATTTACTTCATTTGTACTGTAATCAAACAAAATAAGCTAAAATCTAAAACAAAAATAGGTCGAATTTACGCTCAAATTATTTGCACTGCCATGGTTTTGTATTAATGCACATTTATTTACATTGCAACCAAATACAGCCTTAGGTTCAGTTTGGGAAGAGACATATACAAATGTGTACTGCACAAGTACAGGTTTTGCAATACAAAATACAAAGCTTTGCATTGTACATATTGGTAAACCTGTTTTTACAAAACTTTGTATTTTGTATCGCTAAATCTGTATTTGCACAATACATATTTGTATTTTGTACTTTTCCCAAACTGAGCCTAAACTGTCAAATGTAAAAAAAAAAAAAAAAAAAAAAAGTACAAAAACTTTGGAGTGGCATTAGACCTGTTCATGGGTCGGGTGGCCCAACAGGCCGGCCCGACCCCTGGACGGGCTTGAACAGGCTTTTTGGCCCGCGGGCTTAACCTCGGGCCAAAAAGCCCGGCCCGCATAAAATTCGAGCCTGGCTCGGGCTTTGCCAAAATAGCCCGGCCCGACCCCCAGACGGGCTTGAACAGGCTTTTTGGCCCGCGGGCTTAACCTCGGGCCAAAAAGCCCGGCCCGCATAAAATTTGAGTCGGGCTCGGGCTTTGCCAAAATAGCCCAGCCCGACTTATAGTTAAACCTAAATAAAAACCCTATGTGATGTCCATTTGAATAATTTTTTTGATTTGAGAAGGTTGTTGATTCACTTGTAGGCCCATTGTTCATTTAAATAGGGGAAAAAAAACATTTGAATTAAAATAGATAATGTCTATTTGAAAAGGGAAAAATTCAAATTTCTTTTATTAGGTTGGGCTTCGGGCTTTTTATCAGGGCCGGGCTCGGGCCCAAGTTGTAGGCCTGTTGGTCGGGCTCGGGCCTAACATTTTTCTGTTAATAAAGAGTCAAAGCCCGGCCTGAGCCCGAGCCGGCCCGGCCCATGAACATGTCTAAGTGGCATATATGCTTGTACACAAATTTATTTCCATGTGCAAATAAAATTCCACTTTAGTACCTTGAACTTTGGGGGTAGTATCAAGTTAGTATTCGAACTTTCAAACGTGTCACTACAGTACCTAAACTTTCAAAAAGTGTCAAATTCGTCCCTACCGTTAAATGACTGCTAGACCTGTTCATGGGCCGGGTCGGGCCGGGCTTTTACTCTCCATTAACAGAAATATGTTAGGCCCGAGCCCGAGCCCGACCTAACCAACGGGCCTACAACTTGGGCCCGAGCCCGACCCTAATAAAAAGCCTGAAGCCCGAGCCCAAGCCCGAAGCCCGACCTAATAAAAAAAATTAGAAAATTTCCCTATTCAATAATCAATATAAATCAGAATTTATTTATATTAAAAAAATATATAAATTCAAAATTTATTTATATTAAAAAAAGAATATAAAGAAGGGAAAGAGGATGTGGGGAAGAAGAATTCGGTTGGAAAAAGAAGGGAAGGAGGTGAAAAAAAGAGGGGTATTCAACTAGGGTTTTTAGGTTTAGTTATAGGTCGGGCCGGGCCGGGCTCGGGCTGGGCTATTTTGGCAAATCCCGAGCCCGGCTCGAATTTATTGCGGGCCGGGCTTTTTGGCCCGAGGTTAAGCCCGCGGGCCTATATACCTGTTCAAGCTTGTCCGGGGGTCGGGCCACCCGGCCCATGAACAGGTCTAATGACCGCCAGTTATCTGTTGAAAATGTCAAAACTATCATTCAAAAGAAAGCACTATTCATTGTCTTCTACCTTGAAACTTAACCAGTTATTTTCAAAGAAAAAGAGAGAAAAAACATGAAATATGATAGAGAGAAATAATAACTGAAAAAGAAATAACTAGACAATAATGTGTTTCAGATCTAAAGGTAGAAGACAATGACTTCATTAGTATAGAATGTCAAACACCCCAACTGGTTCAGTCTCAAGGACCAAATTGATACTTTTTGAAAGTTTAGGTACTATAGTGACACGTTTAAATGTTTAAGTACTAACTTGATACTACCCCCAAAGTTAAGGATACTAAAGTGGAATTTTCCCTATTTTTTATTTTTATTTGGTATTGCATACTAAATATTGCAGACGAATGGCGGTGTTTGTATTTTTTTACACTGAGTTCACTGTAGATGTTTTCTGCACATCCTCATCAATCTTTTTAAAGATTAATACAACCAATACAAAACATAATTTTTTATTCAGAAATAAATTTGGAGAAAGAAGAATATTCTTTTCTCGTGATGGAAACGGTGCTTTCATTGGATTGGAGAGTGGAGATGGATTGTACGATAAACGCAGTCAATACATAGAAAACCTTATTAGTTCTTACCCAGTCTTTAATCCTCTTGAGTTACTTATAGAAATATTATACATCCATCTTACTGCCGGAGCTGCCACCAGTACTTCAGATTCCTTTCCAACCCTCCAAGCTTCTCAATAGCTTAGAACTAACCTAAAGAAAGAGTGGAAGATGGGCGCCGAGAACTAGCTGAATTACTTCACGGCCACTGGCCAGTCAGTTGGGCAACTTTAGTAAAAGAATTACATATCAGATTCTGTTGCCCAAGTTCCCCCAACCCATGGTTCGAAGTATCGATACATAGAATCGGTACTAAAAACCATGCGCTTTTATTTTTTAAGTTTTTTTTTTTTCAAAAATTGGTTTTTGTATAAGATTTTAATGAAAAAGGAGATTCCTGGAGGAACCCAAATACGGAGCTTATTATATCCAAATTTTTATCCCTGCCCAAGCCAATGGAATTAGGCTCTTTAACTTCTTAGTCAGTGGTCAAAGAAAGAAGGGGAATTGGACCTCTTCCCTTTGCTCCAGCTGAGAAACAGATCGAGGACAGCAAGGAATTTGTCATTTCATCGCCACTCAGAGAGAGAGAGAAGATAACCTCTTATACGTAGTTACTAGTTAGCTACGAGGGCCAACTAAAGAAAGATGCAACAAGGATTCAAATTATTTGAAAAAAAAAAGAAAAAGAAAAAAAAAACATGATGGTTTGCATTGCAAATGAGGAACATGATAGTAATTCCATCTTCACTGCAAGCAGGACTCCTGTATAAACTCAAACTGGCAGACAAATCCTTCCACGGCAGATTTGCTTTTACGTTGGCAAAGCTGAGGTGGATTGTCGTAATAACTCTTATGAAGAATTTAGATCACCTAAGGTGGTTAGTCACTACTCACCAGTGCTATTGAAACCTGGGGTAGCCATGAACTTTTCTTCTGCATGGTCATGTAGAAATCTTCTTCCCTCGTTTATTTTTCCTTCTCTCCCCTTTTCTCAGTAATGACTCGATAGGTGGCAAAGTGCAGTTAGGTAGCTAAGATGACAAGAAAACACATGGTAGGAGCATTGACAAAAAAGAAATGGCGTCAGCAGGCAAAGAAACCACGACCCATCTAATACCCTTTACAGTTTTCGACCATTGCTTGTAATCTTTGACACTTTGCCATTTTTCTAGGTGTGATGGCTCATGATCTTTTGTGACACACTAACATTTTCACGTCACCAGCATGGCATGATTTATGTAGTCAGAGTTTAATCCGGTGAGACGATTAGACTTAATTTCACAAACAAATCAAATAAATATTGTAACCTTCCCAGAATGCTGTAGATCCAATGCCTAGAGAGATGTTTATTACAACTTTTTCTACATTAGGCAAACTGAATTTTATCTACAAAATGGGGTTAAGAGTAGCCCTTATGAGGTGCCTGCGGATGAATCAATTTGACAGTGTCAGATTTTAATGGGCATAAGCGTTGCGAATCTCTGCACCAATTCACTCATTGCAAAACTCGGCCATATGATTGATGTCTCCAGAGTCACTCCAATTCCTTGAGGAAATCGATGTTGTCAACAAAAACCTGAAAAGAAAAGAAGAAACTAAGAGGATGGAACCAGATAAAATGCTACAAGAAATAAAATAACACAAACCTCTTCAAAAATGCTAAAAGAAATAAAGAATGGAACCACATAAAGTATTCTTGTATGCAATTTTAAATAGAAATGTTTAAACTCATTGCTAGGGAACTTATAAAAGAAGTAAAAAAAGGCCTAAAAACTTCACTGATAAATAAGAGCACAAACTAAAATTAACTGCTCATACAGGATAATTATTACAGGATAATTATAAACAAGAGGCACTTGCGAACACGTCTGAGTAAGCTCAATCTCCTAGTACCACACTCAAAACACTAATCCCATAAGTTCTCATTAGTTCTGACAAGCTTAGTGCCCATTTGGGAGAGCTGAAGTGCAGCAGCTTCTGGCATTCTGAAGTGGGCCCCACAAGGACAGCCTATAAACTATGCTGGTGAAAAATCTAGAGCGCCCAAATCAGTTGTCGGTCAGTCATTTGAAAGTAGGGATGCAAACGGATCGGATCAGACTCGAATTGGAGCATATTCGAATCTGATCTGATAGTACAAATAGTAGATCTGATAATATATCACAGACACAGATCCAGATCCGAATCCATTAAGGATGTTGGATATCTAAATATGACCCGGTCCAATTTAATTTCTGAAATTTCTTTTAAAATACAACAGTTTATATAAAGAAAAACAAAAAATACAAGTGTTTTTTCCAACTATTTTCATCTTGTGTGTGTATATAATCGGATTGGATAGAGGGGTGACTCAAATTTGATCCAATTTTCAATTGGATCCTAATATCTGATCCGAAAATCCAACAGGGGGATATCCGAATCCGACAAAATAGGATTGGATTCTGCATCGCATCGGATCATTGCACCCCTATTTGAAAAGCTGTCCGCTTCAGCCTCTTTGAATAGCTTATCCAGAGCACTTCAAAGCAGTTGAACCAGCTTAGCTGAATCTTCAGCTCAGCCCTCCCAATCAAGCCCTTGACTTGAAAACCAATATGTTTTAGCATTTTAGCTTTGGTGGAAGTTTCCAAACCTATTCTGATTAGTTGCCGTATCTTTCCCGTAATAATGCCTCCTCCAACTTGTTGAGCACCCATGCAATTTGGCATTGAAGCATATTTTGGAAATTCAATACTTGTGTATAATGTTAATCCTAATGCTTATAAGCTCTAACAGGCATTACAGCAATCATGTCATCAAAGTAAACTTCTATGAATGGTTCACAATCATGAAGTCAAGTCTCAAAGGCATGGGAAGATATGGTTAAATATGTAAAGTATCTAGGTAAAATTATATGTAAAAACCATACCGTTTTCCAACCATCAGGATCCAAGCAAGCAGTAATTTTGGTATTGATGCCAGGTAATGGCCCAGGTTTACGAGTGATCTTGCCACCACACAGTTCTATTGCTTCTGCCGTCTTATAGACATCATCTGTGCCTATTGCTATCTGAAAAGCACAAGGGATGGATTACCTTACACAAACCCAATAAGATAACATAAACAATCTCAATTAATTGACGAATAGCACAAACATGCAAAACTCAATGGTGCAAATACTTATTCGTATTTTTCACTTAAACATCCTAAGATAAATCAACAGTCAACAGTAAAGAGTAAAGACAACCTCATTAGGCTGTGTTTGGTTGCAGTACAATTTTATTTGCACTAGTACAAATGCATGGGAGTGCAAATGAAAAAAAATGCAAATTCTCATTTAATTTTGTTTTGGATTTTATTTTATTCTGCTTCATGTCTTAATTTACTTCATTTATAATGCAATCAAACAAAATAAGCTAAAATTTAAAACAAAAATAGGTCAGAATTTAAACTCAAATCATTTGCATTGCCATAGTTTTGCATCAGTGCAAATTTATTTGCATTGCAACCAAACACAGCCTTAGGAAATAAAGGCAGGAGCAAAGAACATAACAAATTTACACATATATATGACATGCATAATACACAGGTAAAAATTTATTTGTTTATGTAACACAATCAAGTTTTAGTTCAGTGTGTACTATGTTGAGGTGAGTGAGTCGTTACCTGAGCATAACCATTTCCTTTCTCATATTCAGTGACTCCATAGTTGTACGTCAACTCCAGTACTGCATTTTTATCTTCAGGACCATAGCCCATCATGGCTATCGTATACTGAATAATGAGAAAAAAACTAGCAATAATCAACAAAGCATCAATATAATACAAAGGATGACTCAGATAAAATTATAATACCAAACAACAGTAAAAAAGAGCTAGTCATTAAGGCACAACCTACTATGCACTCGAAAGTCAAGGCCAAGGATTGATTCAGTGAGTTCTTAACAAATGATTGGGGGACCTTCACCATTTCTTTTTTTTTCTTTTCTTTGCCTTTTTTTTTTTTTTGATTAGTGGAGACCTTCACTAATTGAACATAATGTTTTGTATAACTGGTACTATTATGCCCAGAGATATCACAACATGAACAAAACCAATTTTACATGAAACCCTATGTACTCAACTCATGAGGATAATCTAAGTACACTAATGACCTAATTACATAAGACTCTAGCATACTCAGAGGATAAATGCCTGAACCCCATCTTTATTCTGCATGTAAAGAAGCTTCAGTGCATGAATACTGCATGTCCATTCCAACAGTTGGAGCTTTGATGGGACGTAGCTTAGTTGAGTTGAGTATATACAAGAATTAATACATTATTCGCCATCATCATCTAAGCCTTGTCCCTATTATATGGGGTTAGATGTATGAATTCCATTTCGCCATTCCATTCTGTTCAGTACCATATTCATTGTTAAATTATGAGCCCTTAAACCATTTCTTACTACTTCAGCCCATGTCCGTTTTGGTCTGCCCCTAGATCTTCTAGCCCCTTCAACATGTAACAATTAACAAATCACTTCTTATAGATCCCATAGATGGTCTTCTCCATAAATGACCAAACCATCTTAGTATACTTTCCCCCCATTTTATCACCTATTGGAGCTACTCCTAGATTCATTAAAATGAGTTCATTTCTGGTCCTGACCTTCCTAGTTTTCCCACTCATCCATCTCAACATTCACCTTTCTGCCATACTCATTTTTTGAACATGTTATTTCTTCACCACCCAACGCTCTACCTATAGCATTTTTTGGGCTTACAACTGTTCTATAAAATTTTCCTTTTAGCTGAAGTGGTGTTTGCCTATCACATAAGACTGCAAATGCACCCTTCCATTTTGTCCATCCTGCTCTAATTCTATGGGTATCATCCTCCTCAATTTCTCCCTTGTTGCAGATCATTAAACCAAAGTGACAAAAGAGGTCACATCAAACCATCTCTTGGTCTCCAATATTTGTACTCCTATTATTATTATCATCATATCCTGTTTTAGACTTTTAGTTCTACTTATTTTAAAATCTTTTATTAAATTTTCATGGACACAAGAATAGACAAAAATATGTGGTGTTTATCAATAACTGGAAGATGCCAACTTACCTTATACTCAGGATTGTCTCGCTTGCGAAGAAGCTCCATGCCAAAAGCCTTCAAATTCAGAAAAGGGGCAAGATGAGTTCCAAAACAAAACAATGCAGAACTAACAAGGGAGATTATTAATATTACAAGTAATTTGTGATTCCTTCCAAAATAATACTTACCTTTTCATAGAAATTTATAGAGCGATCGAGATCACCCACCCGAAGCATTACTTGACACAATGGCTCAGGTGTAGGCCCCCTTTCCAAAAGCTCAAATTTGTAGCCATCAGGATCCTCAACAAAAGCAATTACTGTACTACCACCTTTGACAGGTCCAGGTTCCCTTGTTACCTTCCCCCCCTTGGCTTTTATGAGATCCACAGTCTTTGCAACCTACTCCAAGAAAGTGTATGAATAGAACCATAGATCATAATAATATTTGGCAAACTAAGAAAAAAAAGTCAACATATACAGGATAACAACTGCACATACTATAGAATTAACATCCATTAACAACATTACTAGTAGAAGTTTACATATAACATATAGGAAAAAGCATGCTAATTGGGTCAAAGTAGGGACTCCAATACATGATACTACCTATTTCTGCTACATGAACAGGTCCTATAGTCCATCCATAGCATATTAGCATCTATTAGATAGGGGGACCTACTGGGTTGTCCACATATTTCATTGAACAGTGTATATCAGACCTATATAAAACTTTATATTGGAGTTTTTCTCAATCAATACTTCTAGTTTTGTAAAAAGAGGACTGATTTTGCACGTGGAAAGAGATACTTTTGAGCCAAAATTTTCTGTATGCTGAGACTCCCTTTGAGCTCCATACTAAGTTTCTTTTTTATGAATGATTTCCATACTAAGTTGCCACATGGACGATTCTCAGGTTATTCAGGGAATTTCACTAAATGAACCAACTAAGTGTGTGTGGGGGGGGGGGGAGAGAGAGAGAGAGAGAGAGATTGTCAATATTTCAGTAATGATGTTATGACATCACCTTCTTTTCAAAAGAGAAAAACAAGGTATCATGCATATGAGCAGTGTTCTAACTGAGCCATTTTGTAAGGTGGAACATGTTGTTTTTAGCTTTTAGTTATATGCATCTAATTATACTGCTCTTCAGGAATTTTCAAGATGATTGATATCTAAACATCATAATTCCACCCTTTCTATATGCCCTTAGGACCAAGAAATCATGATTTCATATTCACAGTTACAATTTTCACAATCATCAGGAACTTGCAATCAATAAGTGGTATTTCATTATTTAAGCTTAAGGCCTTTACTTATGTGGTAAGAGAAAAGATCTTGGCAAAACGGAACTGTCAGCATCAGGATGCCTGTATGTAATGTATATAACATATGTTGCTAGGTGTAATGGAAAAAACTTGGGCTGGAAAGCATGAGAACCTGGGTTTGAGTCAGAGTGACCACTTCATGCAAAAAATGTGAAAGGTTAGATACTTACATCCTCAACCGCAACACCAAAATGGCCAAAACCAGTTCCAATGTCATATTTATCAACTCCATAGTCTGCCAATCAAAAACAATGGCACCAAATTAAATGTGTATTCTTCTCATAAAAGAAATAAGGTGCATGTCTTAGCATGCAGGAGAGAAATCATAAGAAATTCCACATTTCAGAGAGAGTTATTCAAATATTAATAGGAATGGCTTACTGTAAGTGAGCTCAACAACAAAGTGGGAGTCTTCAGGCCCATATCCAAGAAAAGCATTTGTGTATCTCTCCTCAGGTATGTCACGTTTCCGCAGCAGCTTCATCCCCAAACACTCTGTATAGAATCTGCAATCACCATGCATTAATTAGAATTTGAGCTTAACCTTGCATCTTCATAATAAAATACATAGTTTGAACAATGAAGCAGAGTATATTGTACCAAATTCCAAATAGACATACTTTATGGTCTTATCCAAATCTCCGACACGATAAACAACATGGAGCATTCTCCTCTTGTCATTTTTGGCCCATTCCAATACATTTTCCTGGCTAACTGCAGTGCTTGCTTGTGCCACACTTCCAACTGTACCAGCCTCTATGCTGTTTCTTTCTGCTCTTAACATCTTAGGTGCTTTTATACCAAAAGATTGTGCCTGTGGAATAGCTGGAAAACAGTCTTATATGGATAAGTGTGTGATATAGCTATATTTTGTTATATTTTTATCAATAATAAAAGCTATCTTTTTATGATACATCCGGTTTTTACCAACAAATAATAAGGGGAAGGAAAGGCATATGCCACAATTCTGAATATGTTTAGTGAAAACAAATAATAATAATAATAATAAGCAATGTAACAATATTGATAAAAATAATAATAGGAAATGGAAGTTCAAAGACTCCAAGAGTCAAACAATATAACAATGTAACATCAAAATTATTCTCTGTACAGCCACATAAGCAAAACAGGGCAATTAAATATAACATGCACAAAGTAACTTAATATGATAGAAAAAAAATAAAATAAAAAATCTTATCAATCTACCATATTAAGGATGAAAGAACAAAAACATAATACTTCAGAGCCACATGGGTTGGTGGTTAAAAGAGATGGTGTCTGGACAACCTACTTTAAGGTCAAGCAGCAAATTCGACTAATCTAATCATTCCAAACGTCTACTGTTTTGGCATCTTTCTTCTGATAGCTAATTGCATTCTTTGTTTATATGCACTCAATCTATCGCTTGCTCAGATGGTTAGTATCATAATACGCAGCAAATGCATAACTTTTGAGCTAGCATTCAAGAAAGGAGGTACGAATAGGCAATGGTCCAGATGGATAAACAGGCTCTTAGCGTGCCTTCAATGATGACAGCCACCCCCATAACTGCACCCGCATTTAGTTAGCCAGAACATTTTTAGGGAAATATGCTCCGAATGCGGGAAGAAGGAAACGAAAACTAATAAAAATATCTCTACCACACGTAAACGACATTCATATCAAATTGGGCAGCCTCTTATTAGTGGTTGTCTGCATGTAGAATGAAAAATGAATGGAAAAAGTTTTAAAAAGAAAAAAAAAATGAAAATCCGAACCTTTAACTGATTAAACTTTTTCTAACGAATTGTTTATTTGCATACAAGAATTATGTGTTCCAAAATAGAATTCAAGGAATTGCCCATCCGGGAAAACCAATCAATCAAACCCTAAAAACTCTTGAGCATTGCATCCAAAACATCCATGATATAAATTCCGAGCATGAACGAAGGCCGGCTACAGCTATATAATCGGAATCCTGTATCTTTCCAGTAAAGACTACACCAAAAACAGGGGTTTAAGGTGGTAATGATCTAAAAATAGGGTTTTCTTCGTCGCGAAAGAGATCGAAAGGTGCCGATTTCTTACCACTTCCAAGACGAAAGAGAGCAAGCTTCCGTGAGGGATTATATGCTGTTAGAGTGACACCAAGGCGAGCAGTTGTCGAGAATCTGAGAGGAGAGAGAGAAGGACGAAGGGAAGCGAGATTGAGAGACGACGACGCGATGGGAAGAATTCTCACCATTTCTGCTGCAGGCGCTCTCTGACCCTCGCTTGTTTCGTTGGGTCACTCTGTATCTGCCGTTGTGTGACGATAGAAGAGAGATATCGTTAATATGAGAGAGAGAGAGAGAGAGAGAGAGAGAGAGAGAGAGAGAGAGGTCTGTGCTTTGTCTCCGGTCTAAAGGTTTTAGCTTTCCAGGAAAGTGGAGTCAGGTGTGGGCTGGGAATGAGATTCCAGAGCTCCAAAATCTGGCCCAGAGTCCAGACCATCGTCCGTTTGTCTAGCTTCTCTCTCTACCTGTCTATTCTCTTGATGCTGATTTGGTCTAAACTTGATTGCTGATTTGAGTTTGGATCTGCTACCAACAATCCGCTGCTAACATGTCCCAACTCGCAATTGCAACGACACATTTGAAACATCTTCAATAGTGTTCCCTATTTACAGCTGCAGTGGCCTATTTGGGATAGTGTTGGCAGCATGACAACCGGAGGACACATTAGTCAAGTGAGCAGACAAAATAGACAATAAATACCCTTGTTTTCTAGTAATAAAATTTCGCTTACGGCCCCGTTGCTTGTAACAGTTCAACGTAAATGCACTTTAATTGGGTGAAACAGATAATATTTACTGTAATATTTACCTAGTTAAATGCACTAGTATCTATGTTCTTTTGATTTTTTACATTTTCATATAAATAATAAAATAACAATTTTATTCATAAAAAGTAACTATTTAAATGGGTAAAATGGTTTCATCATGTTTTGTAAATATTTTTCTCAGGTAAAAAAATTATTTATCCACATAAAAGATGAATAAGCTTTATCCAAGAAAATAGGAGTAGTTTTACCATCGAACCCATTACTTAATGCAAAAAGAATATGGGTAAATTGGTAAATGGAAAAAAGTTACCCATTAACCAACTTTTCCATGTATGTCTACCTAAAGAGGAATGGGGCCGTAAGAGTAATTTTGTTCTTGAGCAAGGTCAATTTTGACTATTACTTGAGGGAAGGCCCAATGTAGCCAGTCCAGACACATTGGGGATTACCCGGATGCCCGTCCAACTCCCAATAACTGTATTTCCCCGTAAAAAAGGGGAAAAAGTAACTCCCAATAACTGCATTTCTCCGTAAAAGAGGGGAAAAAAGCAACTCCCAACTATATTTTGATGAAAATCCACCTGATTAGTTACCACTTTTGTGATGATCGTTGATTGGTTATAAGTTTTTCAGTATTGTATCTATTCATCATCATACTCGGGCATCTGCTTCAAAGTGGTAATCAATGTGATGGGTTTTTAAATTTTTGTCAAAATTCAGTAAAGTTTTGATTGGTCAAAGTCTTTACTGTATCATGTTTTTTGGACATATGTATGTATGTATGATGATGCTGTTAATAGATAATACAAAATATAACTCCATTATTTAATATATATATATATAATAATTGCACTTGGCATGCTGAAAAGCATACAATATACAACATCTCTATAATACTTATACTTGCCTTGGTTTTCACATCTAGGTATAAGGTTTAAAATATATATTTTAGTAGTATCATATATGACAATGTTTCATTTTACATCTACATATATTCTTTCATTTTACATCTATATATATTCTTTTTTTTTTTTGTAAAGCGGTTAATAGGCCAGTTCCATTCAGCAGTGAACAATTCATCAGTAAGTAATTACTTAATTTGACAATATATTTGTGGTTTGCCAATGGAGAATGGAGAATGCTGTCTTTCACCAATAGTTCAACTCTGTACATGATAAAGACCGAAGACAGAGCTAGAAGAGCTCCGAATTGGCAGGCTGGATTGTAGAAGGTCTCTTTCAACAGGTAGTGCTTGAATTCCTGGAGCAAGAGTGGGAAATCATCAAATCTCTCTACTACCAAAGAAGCCAACAAATTTGCTGATAGATTAGCTGATTTAGCTTTGAACCAATAGGTGATATATATGTTTTCATTCTTTGTATCCTTCGGTTTTATTATATTGTTTTCCTATATGATAGAGGGGTGATATTGTCAACTTGGTGTTATTAGGTAGTTTTTCTTTTTAATCTTCAGTCCAATTTAAAAAAAAAAAAAAAAGTTGACAAAATGGAGAGCAAGATATAATACCATCTATGCAGAAAATACAAATTGCGAAAAACAAGTATATTTTTTTTATATGTTTTGGCGATATGCCCAATTGTATGGAAGAAAACAAATAAATTGTTTTATTAATGAAGCCAAAAGGGCATAATGAACCATATGGATAATAAAGCATGGTATCTGGATGGGTTGAAGTACAAAATCATGCACACCAGGATGGGGCTACCTATACACGCTAGTATTCAGTATGCAATAAGTGCGGGTTCCACATGAGCCCGGCCATGTGTATAGAACAATGGCATCTTCGCTCGCCATAAATAGCCCAGCCCAGTTTGCATGATTTTGTCTTTGGCCAATTCAGATTTAATTAAGAGACTTTTTTTTTCTTTGATGAGTTATATTGGAAAAATGACTTGGGGCGCTCAACCACTCTGGATCTCTTACCTGCAAACTCTTCCCACGTACCTACAAATAAGACACTATCCTTGTGTATTAGGAACATCACTCCATGAATGACAAGATATTCCCATGCATGCCTGTTGTGTCTTATGAGAAGAGTTTGTGGGTAAGAGATTCAAACTTGTTCAAAAACATGATTGGTTTTGTTTTTCGAAACAAAAACAACAACTATATCAGCAAATCAATATATTTTTGCTGCTACAGTCATACATGTTGGCAAACTTATTCTTGATAGAGTGTAAGGTAATGTTTGGTTTAAAGGAAAAGGTATGGAAAGAAAGGGAAAAATAGGAAAGCCTATACAAGATTTATAAATGTTTTCTTACCTTTCTCTTCCTTTCCCTACTTTTTCCTTCAAACCAAACACACCATAAACTCAAAGAGCATGGCACTCGGCCATTATCCGTACATGTAAATTATGCATGTTAAATTTATGAGATGTTTTCAATGTATGGTTGAATTATTGTATTTTTCATAGTTCATACTGTTATTCTTTTGACAAGTGAAATAGAACCGATAGGAAGGCGGATTATAAACTTCTGCAGTCAGCAATGACAATACTAATGCACTACAGTGGCTTAAAGAGAGCTCACTACAGAAAGCAAAGCAATGTTTGCAGTGTCACCTTCAATGATCATATAGCTTGGAGAGATAACTCTAATTCAAATCTCATGTCATGAAGAAAAGCATAATTGCACAAGCTTCTGCTTCCAAATAGGGAAGTCAATTTTCCTTGTAAAACCAAGGCCTTGCCCTGCCCTAAACGAGGCAGGTTTTCCCCGATCTTAAACAAGGACAGGACAGGGACAGGAAAATATTTTTGCCTCAATTTGGGGACGGGGTTTGCATATAATTGCTCGAACCCACTCCAAATCTAATGGTAAATTAATTAAATATCCCTAGATTTAATATTGATTTTTAAAATATCTCTAAGTCTTCTTGAATTCTTAAAATCTTAGGATCCCATATTTTCATTTCTAAAGTACCCCCAAATCGTAATAATTCTATTCCTAAAATACCCCAAAATTCTCATAATTTTATTTGTAAAATATCAAACAACTACATTATTTTTAGGTGGTTGCCTCGAAATGGAGAAAATTAAAAAATTCTCCATCCCTAATAGGGGTTGGGTTCGCCGCCCCGCCATTAGAGATGAGGCAAAACATCTTCACTATTGGGCAGGGATGGGAGTGGGTGCCCTGCCCCCATTGCAACTTGCCATTACTACTTCCAAAGGAGAGCTTGATGGTAGAGGAATAGTTCTAGAGAAGAGATGGCGCCAATCAATGATGATCCTGAACAACTAACCAACTCTCATCGCATAAGGGCCCACCAAACCATCAACAAGGTAAATCATCAAAATGGCTCATATTGAAGCTTGCTATCTAAATGTCTTACTTGTAAGATTTGGAGCCAATAGGAAGTTAGCTTATCATGCAAAACATGATAAGTAGGGCCCTGTCAATGATCTAAGACAACCCAATGATTTGAGCTAATCCTATTAGTTATATTAGATATGAATTAGGTATACACTTTGCACCCCCAGTTATTAATAATGTTGATTATGGGCTTGCATTTTGAGTTTTGATTATAATAGGTCTAAGATTGGTTGTCCCTATTCTAGCATGATTAAGACTACATATTAATACTTGGCTTCACATCCAATGCCAAAAAAAAATTATTTTCTTCTCTTCCCATTCTTTTCATCATCTCCCCCTTATGTGCCATTTCATGTCAAAGTGATAACTATTCCAACATTTTATTCCATTATTTTTATGCATATAGGTGTGTATGTAAAAGTCCTTTTCTCTTAAATTTGGAAGCTTGAATATTTGGTTTACTAGATTCTTAGTGATATTTCCCCCTACTTCTGTCTTTCTTGTGATCACCAGGTCCCTCCCTGCTTCTTCTTTCTATTAATCTTTTACGAAGCGTAGCTATTTCTCCTCCCTCCTAGATGTTTGCTACTTGTGGTCTAGCTTAGCTCTCTCTCCCTAACGTGGTACCATAATGATGGACCTCGAGGAAAATAGGATTGTGGAAGAAGAAATACAGACAAATCAAGCTCAGGAGGGAAGTCAATGTCAAACCGCCTTAGTTTGTATTGTCTTTTCCAGGAAACGATTGAATCACAATGGCCTTAGGAACATGTAGAGGTGTAAAACAGGGTCGGGCCGTGCACAGGGCCAAAGTTATTTATTTAAAAATTAATAAAAAAACTTAAAATTTTAATTTTATATGAATTTTGATGTATATAATTGCTTATATATACAATAATTAAATAAATTCGTATAATAATATTAAAAAAATATTAATTTTATTAATATATTAATATATTATTATATAATTATAATTTATATAATATTATATATATATAAATATATATAAATAATATATATATGGGTCGTGTCGGGCTGTGCCGGCCTGCTCGATTGTGCTGTATTGGTCCGGCCCATAGACCTAAAACCCACAGGCCTAGCACAGTCCGCATGATCATGTCAGGCCTTACACGGCCCACGGACCACCGTGTCGAGCCAGTCCAAATTCATACCGGGCGACAGGCAACATGGCCCGATTTACACCTTTAACATGCTTCAACAAGTGTGGGCTCATACAGGTATGGGTATTAATAGCGAAATCGATGGACGATTCCTCATCTTTTTTTATAAGGATTTGGAGCTTCGTCGTTTTCAGAATAAAGGACTGTGGTCTTTCATGAACAACCTAATCCTGGCTCACTAATACACTATTGGGATGAGCTTAAAGGAAATTCCCCTAAGATGGGGAGAGTTATGGATACAGCTCCATGGCCTGCTGTTGCAACAAATGACAGAGACAACTACTTATAAGTTTGGTAGCATCATTGGGGAAGTCATTAACATAGACAAAATGAACCTAGAAGAGGCTTGGAAAGGCTACATGCATTTGAGAGTCAAGCTTGAAGTTTTTCAACCTCTGAAAATCGGATATCATCTGAAGTGGAAACAAAGAGAGCCTCTATGGATTGAATTTCAGTATGAAAAAACTTCCCATTTTTTGCTACAGATGTGGGCGCATTGGTCATGACAATAAAGCTTGCACTCAAAAGTGTTCTTTGGGTGAGGATTCCTTAAGAATATAGGAGGTTTCTAATGATGAAGAAGATAAACAGAAAGGAGGACTGAGTAGACAAATATGACCCGAAGTCACATAGTCCATGGCTTGCGTCGAATTTCATCTAAAGCGGGAAAGAAGATCCAATATGTTGCAGAGCTTCCGAGAAGATTGGGTGAGCACAAAAAAAACATGATAGTCTAATGTCGCTTGCAACACTATTGGAGAATTCTCAGACCAATGCCGGAAATGGAGCCGTTGGGGACAAGGTGAAGACATGTCAAACTGATCCTCTAACAAGTTACGGTAGGAGTGAGACAAGTGCTGTGATAGAAGTTGAAAATGTGGGTTGGGACAGCCTGGCAGAAAAGGCGCATTTTCTTGCATGGAAAGCCACATTGGGATCGATGTATGGGGATCAAATCAACCTGGCAACCTTGGATAATTGAAGGTATGATCTGAACCCCAACGAGGATATGATTGGTCAATTAGCTTACCTACTGAAATCAGCCCTCCATCCCATTCTATTGAATATGATTCCACTAGGGTCTATGGGCAGTCCAATAGCCCGAAGACCATCGGGCCTTAGCCCAAATCCAATTAAAATTAATAAAATAGAGGATTTGGGGGGGGGGGGGGTATTAAAAGAGTTCTTGAAGAGACATATGACTTAGCCACTAAGAAATTGAAATTTCTAGACATGGCAGAACAATAGGACATATTGAAACAGGAGGTTGTTGCGTGAGGCAAAAACCCAGTAACAAAGACTGAGGAAAAGAAGCAAAGTTGGAAAGGGAAGGGGGAAATGGTAGAGAACCTGTCTCCAAGAAGGCATTTCACTCTTAACAAGTAGACAGGCTGAGGTTTCATGAGTGATGCTCGTAAACAAAAACCGGTTGAGAATAACAAATTGCACCTTGTTGACTTTGGACACTCTAATGATCAAGCAGTGGCCCTTAAGGAGTTTCAGGGCTACCGAGAATAATGAGTTTCTTTTGTTGGAACTGCCAAGGATTGGGTCGGGCCCCAATAGTTTGAGCTCTAAAGGAGCATATCTGAACCCATGGTCCAGGGGTTATTTTTCTTGCAGAAACCAAAATCCCCTCATCTCATCAAGTGCTACTGCGGTGGATCCTACTGGCTTGGCAGGAGGTTTAATCATTTGCTGGACGAGTGGTTTCAATATCCAAGTCTTTGACTCTTCCCCCCGAATCATTGGCACTTCTTACAAATCGGAAATTGAACCAAACTTGGAGATGTAGTTTTGTTTATGGGCACCCAGATCATAGATTCAGAAATGCAGTCTAGAATGAGCTCCGAAGCATTGTTCGCTCAGTAAACCATCCTTGGCTTATGATGGGAGACTTCAATGTAATCTCCAACCTTGATGAAAAACATAGAGGCCTCTTAGCTTTTAACAAAAGTATTCAAGAGTTTAATGACTTCATCAACGATTGTGAATTAGTTGATTTGGGATGTGTTGGCCAGCACTTTACGTGGTGTAACAAAAGGAGAAGATATGGTTTAATCTAGGAGCGGCTAGACCGGTTATTGGCTTCCATTCCATGGTGTACTCAGAACCCAGCTGCGTGGGTGCTAAACAAGTTGGTTTATGGGTCAAATCACGGCCTAATCATCGTCAATTGTATCCAAAGGCCTTTGAGAGGTTATCGACCTTTCCGTTTTGAAGCCATGTGGGTGTCTCACCCAAACTGTAAATCAGTGATTGAAAATTCATGAACTCTGCCAGGCATCACCAGAATGGAAGCGTTCAGCACCAGATTTATCTCACCTCTTCTATGCTGATGACTGCCTTCTCTTCCATAAGGTTGACATCCAATATGCTTTGTAGATTAAGAAAATCTTAAATTAGTATGCTGAAGTCTCTGGACAGGTGATTAATCTTCATAAATTGAAGGTACTTTTTTAGTAAGAATACCCCTTAGAGATTTCGGAAAATTCTTGCTAAAATGCTAGGGATCAAAGAGGGAGGGGATGCTCTAAATATCTTGGCCTTCCAAGTTCAATTGGCAGAAACAAGAAAGCAACCTTTGCTCAGATGACTGACAAAATAGTGAACAAAATTTAGGGGGTGGGAGGGCAGCATTCTTAACCAAGCAGGCCGAGAATGCTTGGTTATTAGCAAAGGCTAATTGGGCGTTATTAGCAAAGGCTAATTGGAGAATGATCCAGACTCCTGAAGCCCCGTAGTGTTTATTGCTCAAGTATATTTATTTTCCTAAGACCTCATTCTTATCTGCCTCTTTGGGGAGTATGCCCACTTGGGCTTGGCGTAGTCTTCTTCATGGCCTGAGATTGTTAGAAAAAAGGTCTTATGTGGTGGGTAGGAGATGGAAGACAAATTGACATTTGGACTGATAGGTGGATTCCCACCTTGCTAGAAAAGAAGCCTCGCGGTTGTGAATATCATATGACCTTATTCTTTATAACCCCCGCCGTTGGAACCTGGTGGTCCTTCGTAGGCTCTTCTTCCCCTTTGAAGTTGTTGAAATTTATCGTCTCATATATTTCCGCTGTGTATTGATAACATTTCCCAATGATAATATCAAGAATGATGGTGTCTTCATCGGGAGATGTTCCCAATACACGATGGGGATATCTTGTGTGTGAGGGCAGTCTTGTGAGGGGCTGATTTGAATTCATTTTGTTAATGCAATATAAAAGTTATTTTTAATTTCATTTTGTTAATAACATATAATTTTTTAATTATCTTCAGTTTAATTATTTATACTATTTCATCCAATTGTAATCTGAATTCAATTCAAATCTCGATATAAATCCGATGGACAAGATCCGACTCGAATCTACCTATATTGGATTTGATTCGATCCGGTTATAGTTGTCCGTACTCAGAACGGGTAGACTGGTTAGAGTTGCTTCAGTTGAAAAAAAGTCTTTCAGCGATTCGACGTATTTTACGGATACATGCTAATGCTTATGAAGCTGTTTCACTGTATCATTATCTCTAAAAGATTGTTTCTCAAGAGGAGCCGCCATTCAGCGGTTGCCGGTCGATCTTCGACGAAATCTACACTCTACAGTTCACTCTCACTTCTCCTTCAGAAGAAGGGAATTGGGAGTTAGATGATTGCTTTCAGATATCTATTCTTCAGGTGCACCCTCCTTCGGAATCTTCAAAATTCATCTTTTTCTCTCTCAGTTTCTTTGATCTTTTATTTTGTATTTTAATGATTTTTCATTTATTGTTCTTTTTGTTCCATCTTCAGAGTTGATCGTGTTTGGAAAGCCGCAAATGCATACGTTCTTTCTGAGCCCGTAGGAAACATTCAGGTTCAGAGCTCCCACCTCTTTTCTCTGTGTGTGTGTGTGAGGGTGGGGGGGGAGGGGACTTCTAAAATTCAATCTTTATCTCATGCAGCTGTTGTTTAAAATGCCTGAAAGTTCAGTTGTAACATGGAAATTTGTTAGTTAAATACCTAGGTGGACATTTTTCTTGTATTAATGGGGAGAATGCTCTTACCCCATGATGATGTATTTCAGCCCCAAATGAACCTTACCTACTAAGATGTGCTTCTTCATGTTGACAATTGTCTTGTACAAGATCGTTACTATGGACCTCATCACTGCTAAGGTAATGATATTATGATAAATGTTCTTTGTGTCATTCAAGTGAGGAATGAGCTATTGTGGCTGATATGAGGTCACTGATTCAAGTGTGCCTATGTATAGGACTTTTTCAGGAGTAGTCAAATTAATTGGAACTTATCTCCTTTTGGAATTTGTTGGAGTATTTGCAAGAAGGATACTTCAACAATCTTTAATCATGAAAGCTGTGTGGGTGTAAGAGTTATTAGGAAGATTAGGAAACTCATTTTGGTGATTGGCTGGACATTATATCTCAATCTTCTGATACTATATTGGTGTGTTTATGTTGTACATGGATCATACATTAAGGAACATGTAAGACCTGTACGTGGGACATGGTGCCTTTGTCCTTTCTGAATGATATAACTGCAAGTATACTTAGGCAGTGTTAATCTTACATGCACAGAATCATTTAGCTTCAGATTTATATTAAAGCAGGCAAGGTGGAATGTTATTTTGAAACTGAAGGTCTATAGGTTCAAGATAAAAAAGGTACCGTGCAGTTCTGGATCTGCAATGTGACCAGTATAAATACTTAATACTTAGATAATAGTTTGATATAGGGCTTTGATCTTTGTATTTTGCAGCATACCAAGTAGAAATACCTAATGTTTCAATTTCCAAATGAGCATACAACAGAAGTGTGGAGAAATCAGGTTAGGATTTAACACTGGGTTTTTAATTTCTAAACCTTCAAGTGTAAGAAGTGAACATATTTGAAACACCCAGGGCTCACTCTGATGTGTATTGGGAATATAAAGGCCATTATCCAATGTTGGTCCCTTCTATCTGGGGTAGCATTTTTTTTTACACAGAGTGGCTGTCCTGCTGTCCTCAGATTTGAAATCACGTTCTCTTGCTTTCCAGCCTGAGGTTTTACCTTTACACCAAATAGTGGCCTCTATATGTTGAAATAATATAAATTTACTAATTAAACTAAATTGGAAGATGAAAAAAATAGTCTAGTTATTTTAAAAACAAGAAAAATGAACCTGAAATTAATTAGATAAATTAATAATTGTAATAAAATTGAGAAGAATTAATTATCTATGAGAGAATCGGCAGAATAGTGAACCAAGCTATCTTAAGAGGGATAGAATATAGAGCTATTATTATTGACTTTAATGGAGGCTAATTAATTGTATGGTTCATATAGGCATATGAATTTATCAGAATAAAAAAAGTTCAGATTTAAGATACTAGTTGGGTAAGAATGAAAGCTATTGTTATTGAAGCAGTGCTTAGGACTTGAACCGCTCCTTTTAGAAAACCTCAAGGAACCCTAGAAAACTAGAGCACCACTTCCTAGGTCAAAATTGGAGAGTCCTACTAAAATAGGACTCTCCCCCTTTCTCCAGTTCTTCCTGATTTTGGTGTAAAACCCTAGACCAGCTACAAGGGATTGTAATTCCACCAAAAAAAATCCAAAAACTGGGCTTACCTGAAGTCTTTGATCAGCCCTTTACCTTATCATGTAGTCGGCCGATCTAGGGCTGCATGATGGAGCAGCTCAATAAATGTTTAAACCTGGCTCTGATACCAAGTAGAAAGGTTTGGACAACCTGTTTTGATATAAAAACTGTAAAAGAAAGAAGAAAAGAAAGAGGAGAAAAGGTTTCAGCTAAGAAAGAGAGAGATGAGAGATAGAAGAGAATGGGAGAAGCTTAGAATTAGGTCTGTCTGCCCCTTTCATTAGATTATATACTCATAAATAAAAGACGGTACAAAGACAAGTATGCCCTTAGTAAGTCGGCTACTTGTGAGAACTTAAAAACACTCTTAACTTAAAACATAAACTAATGGGCCTAAGGCCCAATAACTCCCTAACTATGATATGTAAATAAGAAACATGTTATATCAGCCCAAAACTCAACAAAATGTATTATTATTTGGGCTGACTGTTGGTTCTGGGGGCCAGGATCCAAATACTGGAGCCCCTGTAACCTGCCTTGCTACTCATGTTTTAGAGATCAGGACCCACCATCAGGTAGATGCTGTCTGGTAGATTAGAATGGAAAAATTAAGCATTCACTGAAGCTCATGACCATGGGACTTTACTGTATCAGAACCTAGATTTCTTTATAATCAGCACCTAGGGGAACAACATATAAACCAATTACCTACTGAAATAAATCCTAGCTTGTTCCAATTTAGCCCCTATCCCAGAAACATGCAGCACATGGCATGTTATAGGGGTCCCATAACTATCTTCAGTCCTTTTGTTCCCAGTCTGAAGATGCTCCTTTGTTATTACATTATGATGTAAATTCTTAAGTTGCTGTTTTTATTTTAAGTAATTAATGAAGTTTTTCTTTCTACCAAAAAAAGTTTTTCTGTGTTGCTGATAAAAAAAAATCTTAACTTTCTGATCAGAAAAGAAGCTATTTATACTGGTTACTATAGGCCTACATTTTAGCATGAATTTACTGACATGCTTATTTAATTTGTATGTTAGGGGTATTCTGCCTATCATGGTGTGAGTCATGCTTGGAGAATGGGTAGGAAAAAGGGTGGTCCAAATTCTATAGACAGTCGCAAGAAGCAGAAAGCATTTTCCTCTGTATGGAGGCCTGTTTGTACCCAGTCTTCTGCACGTGAAGGTTTGTTCTGTTAATGGAAGCTTATTTCCTTATTGAGTGAGGCAACATGTTCTTCCCATCCTGAGTGATCTGAGAGACTGTACCCACATAACAGACCCCAATTATACAAAAAGTTACACACAAGTCAGCCTTCATGCTAGTAATAGCTCTTGGGTAAACAAGTTACAAAAAAAGAACATTTCTGAAAAACTCTCTAACTGATAACCATGAGAATGCCAAAGATTAAATGCTTCAAGGGTTGCATTTCATCTTCCTGCCTTGATGATTCTCAAAAATTCTTAAACTTCTTTCCATTTAAATACTCCAAATAATGGCTACTGGTAAGACCCTTCAGGCCATTTTACCTCTTCAATTTAGAACCAACCCCCGTCCAAAAAAGAACAGTCCATTATCAAAAAAGAACATTTCTGAACAACTCTCTAACTGATACCATGAGAATGCCAAAGATTAAATACTTCAAGGATTTCATTTTCTTGTCTTGCTGATTCTCAAAAATTCTTGAACTTCTTTCCATCCAAATACTCCAAATAATGGCTACTGGTAAGACCCTTCAGGCCATTTTACCTCTTCAATTTAGAACCAACCCCTGTCCAAAAAAAAGCCATCCATTTAGGGTCTCCTTGACTGTCCTAGGGAAAACCCAGTCTACATTTAGGCATAAGGCATCTTAGAAGAAAAACCCTGGATCTACGAGCCTATGGAGCATTGGAGAAAAAGGTGTCAGCATATTTCAAAGAGTGCTTGCAAAATGAGCAGCCCAAGGGTGAGATGTTCATACCTCCTTACCAGATTATCTTTTGTAAGACATTTATCTAGAGTTGTAGTCTACAACACAAAGGTGATCTTTGGAGGCACTCAGGCACCTGGGATGCCACACAATTTTTGAAGTTTCTGTTGCCCACAACAGCAAGCCTCTTTACACAAGATTTTACTGAAAAGGATCCAGATTTTTCCCACTCCCACCTGCTGTCTTCACAACCAACCATTGGATCACCTCATCCAGCTCCCAATCAAATAAAATCTTTCAAAACTTTGGGGTCCAAATCATTTTATTATTCTATATTATTGATGCACCCTTGTCTCTTTATCCTTGGCCACCACGTAAAGATTAGGGAAAATCTTCAATGGTCTTTCCGCAAATCAAGCATCCAATGAGAATTAGAGCCTAGATCTAACCAATCTTGTAATCAATGCCTGATAATAGTTGCCATATCTTCTTTCTGTAATGCATTCATTTTCCTGCATCTTCAGTTCTTAAATCAAGAAAACTCGTCATTTTTAATCCTCCAAAAGCTAAAAACTGAGGTACATTTTCCTCAGAACCTGAGATAATACTTGCCACCTGATGTGGGGTGACCCAACTCAGCCCATTTGAGGTTGGGAGGCCCAGCCCATGAGCGCCAGATTGGGAGCGAGATCCGCTACAGCAGGGGTTACCTTGCTCCCCTCGTACGGAGCCAATCGCAGGGCGCCGACGCGTCCCTGCAGGGCTCCACCTACCTCCAGGCAGTTCAAGTATAAATAGGGGTGCCCCCCTCCAGGTAAAGGGATCGAATACAATCTTCAGTCCAAATTTGGAACTGGGCTCACAAACTATATCCTAGTTCCCCTCTCCGTACCCCGTACTAACTTGACCGTCAGAGAGAACCCGAGGCCTTTGACGTATTTTGCCTTGCAGCACCTTGGCCATCTACCTTCGACTTCTACAGTATTCGGAGCCCTCTCCGCCTCGGCCTCAACAACAAGCTCTCTGAACCCTCGAAGCCTTTGGCCAGCCTTCGTAGTCTAGGGATGGAATTACTTTGTTGTCCTCGGCCAACCCAAGCACCAACAATTGGCGTCGTCTGTGGGAAATGTTGCTAAGACGTTCCCTAAAAAGAACTTTGACAAGCTATCAGGTCCCCGATCTCCAACCACCCAACATGGTACGAAGAACAAGAAATACACAAAATATTGTCACCAATGAACAATTCCAGGCCGTGCTCGACCGTCTGGAGTACTTGACACAACTAGTCAATTAGAACTACCCCCAGGCAAGAGGTCGCCCCGAGGGTGACCCCCCCGCCAGGGAGTCCACACAACCGGGCCGGCATGGGTCCACCAGCCAATCGGTCCCCAACCTCGGCCACGTGCAGCAAATCGAGCCTTTCGAGTCTGGTAGCAGTCGTCTAGCCGATCCGCTCTCTCAGACCTCCGGACCACCCAACCGAAGGGAGGACAACTCCAGACCTCCTAGCCGAAGGGAGGAAGAACCGGAACAGTTGAAGGATAGCCGCCAACCCTCTGAGTAGCATCACCGATGCCAAAGGGCCAAGCCGAGGGACGAAGGCGGACGCCGTGATCGCCCCAACGCTCACTCCAGGGCCGAGGGCTGGCGTCGAGCCTCTTCCCCTCACGTCTTGGACCTCCGGGACGTCCTAAACGACCATCGCGCTAAGTGCGAAGCACGCAGTCTCAACTCCGAGCACTCCGGAGTCCGCACCGATCGCCACCATGCCCATGAAGATCGAGACGGTGCACGGGCCATGCCTGACCCCATGTTCGCCGAACTCCGAGCCGAGCTTGGCGCTATCAAAGCCGAGATCCGACAAGTTAAGGAGAGCCAAACTGATACCTCGGCCGAACAGAACAATTCCCTTGGGAGAATGGATGCCTTCTCTCTTGATATCGTCGTCGAGCCTCTACCTTCGAACTTCAAGGCTCCCACCTTGGAGATGTACAACGGGAACACAGACCCGGACGACCACCTAGAGAGCTTCAGGGCACTCATGAT